AAACTTCTGTTGTAATATGGAAGTAAAGTGTCAAAAGAGGCAAAGTAATAACTGCAAACCGAACTGAATGGACTAACTTTATCTTGAAATAATCAAAAAGTTGTTTTGCACTCCAAAATAATTAATTCCACTAGTTTCATATGCTTACACACAATACTGATCATAAGTTCTTTAATTGTCGTAAAAATTGGTTAGAAGCACAGAAAGACTAGTTACAATTCAATTATTGGAAGCCGGGACGGAACGATATTTGACGTGTGTATGTTGTTAATACACAGTATAAACCTTTTATTGTGCAAATAATTTCAATTTGTCTATCCTACTCAATATATTAACTATTGTGTTGAATTTGGTCAAAGCTTGTGTTTGTTTGGTTATAACTGAGCATTTAGATTTATGGTAATTTAGTATATCAGATGTATGCTTGACACTATAGTCTATTTTTCAATCTATAAAAAATATTTTAACTCTAAGGTTTCTTATTTTTGCGTTACGCAATTTGATTTTGATGTTGCTATCAACAGTTTTATATTTCAATTGGGTTATTTCGTATCAATTTAATTGTACAAAAATTATAACATCTGACTTTCAAATGGAATGACATAAATGGTCTAAACGGCTAAAATCTCTTTCATATCACAATCATAATATTTGAATTTCTCTTCGAAAATCGTTTGTATATATTTAACATATAACCTACCTTTATTTAGCGTCTTCCTTCCCTTAGGATCAACACAAGATGTATAAATTAAAATAAAGTCTAGGCTTACATATTCATCTGTATTTAAACATCCACACAAGTTTTGTTCGTATGGGTATAGCTCTGCTGAAATCCAACAACAGGTAAAATATTGATTTCCGTTTTAAACTAATTTATATTCTTTAATTAGAGCAGTTAAAATATTCAAATTATATTTCTGTCAAATCTTTTTTTTTTATAAAAATGATGAATAATCCTATAAAGTTTGTAAACATTAACTCGGGGAAAATATCCAATGACAGTACTGAAAAAAATATAAATTAATATAAAGGGTATTGTCTAGATATTTCATTTATGGATTCAACGAGCGACTGAAATCACAACTACACACGTTAATCGGTCACTATCAAACGTTGTTGACCGAAACAATGTGTATGTGTCTCCACTCACTATATGTTTTAATGGTGTTAAATCTTTAGATACGAGACATGTTGTGCTATCTGTACATTACCTAATGTATCCGTTTACTACCTATTATATTTTTACTGAGTGTCTATTATCATGGCGGGTTATGTACTGATAGCAGGGATGCTAACCACATTGACGCACTTGGCGTAGCTCCTTAAGGATTTCATGCAAGTCCTTCAGTTTTTGTTTATATCTTGATATATTTATGAGATTTGAATATCGTTAAAAAACTATTGTATCTTATTTATAGTAAAGAGTCGTGTCGTCAATATCATTTGAAAGGTTGATTTTTTACGTTAAATAATTCAAGAACATGATTTAGTTGTTCGTTGAAAAATTAAGCATGTAAATGGTATGGAACGCCACAGCTGTCTTATGTAGTACTCTGACATTACGTTATGTGGTTTTATTATTACTTGATGATATTTTGTCTTTACATAATATGGTTTTGACATTCCTTAATGATGTTTCGTTATTACATGATAGGGTTTCGTAATGACTTGATATGTTTTTTGTAATTACTTAATATGGTTTTTTATTACTTAATATAGTATTGTCATTACTTAATATGATTCCAATATTATTTAATGGGGTTGTGTCTTTAGGCAATATAGTTTTATCATTACTTGATGTGTATATGGGTTAACGTAATGTAGTTGTTTCATTACATAATGTGGTTTTGTTATTTCGAAATGATGATTTGTCAATTCTTAAATGGCTTTTACATTACATATAGATGTTTCAAAATTGGACGATTTTACACTACATGATGTGGTCGTTCCAGTATTTGATGTGGTTCTGTCGTTTTTTTTATGTGGTTATCACATTACTTGATGAGGTAAAACCACGTGACCATTTCGGAAAAATTAGTTCTATCTTTAAACCGATTTCCCTGAACTCGTACTACTAAAATTCAACTCGTACCAATGTTAACTCGTAACACTGCGAACTCGTACCATTCCAAACAATTTTTTTTATCGCGGTCCCAGGCTTTCGAAAAGTGAACCGAGGGGCATGGGGACCGCATTATGGGGGACCGGCAGTCAAAAATAAGAAAAAAGTAAACAAAACATAAATTTTCGAACGTAAAGTAAAAGTCCTCCTCCTAATGGCTCTATCCGCTATTTTTCAAAATATTTGCATACAAATAGTTAAAATAAATTTCTTCCTGCGTTCCAAAAGAGTGGCGAAAGATACCGAAGTGATGTTCAAACTCACAGGTCAAAAACGAACTGGCAGTGCAATGGCGAAAAACGAAAAAACGACCAAAAGGCCAACAATGTTACAGTATATAATACACAAAGTAGAAATTTAAATAAGAATTAGGAGATGTGATTGCCATTGAGAAAAATATTCCCCAGAATTCAAATGAATTGGATGTAAGCAATTATAGGCAATCGTACGGCCTTCAACATACCATGCAGTCGACTAGAAAAGGCCCCGACACAAACAATGTGAAACAATTCAAACGAGAAAACTAACCCTCTAATTTATAAAAACACAATTAAAAAAAAACTAATATGCGAAACATGAACCAACGACAACCGCTGAACTACATGGTCCTGAGTTGGGAAAGTCACATTAAGAATTTGGCGGGTTCAAACATGTTTGTGAGCGCACAACCCTCCCCTAACCTGGGACAGTGGTGTAACAACACAACATAAGTTGCAATTGGCTTAACTCAAAAGATATGTACGACTGAGAAATACAAACCCCACCAAAAACCGGGGGTGCTCCGGAATGTTAAGCATAACCTGCTGCATATGTGGCACCCGTCGTATTGTTCATGAAAGTACACATCCAGTAATAAGTCTAATTCGATAGGTTACATTCGAGGAAAACAGAACGGGATTGTTGTTACGACAATTGGAAAATATCTGTCGTCATCTGTGAAACAGATATTCCAAATTGTTGATTTTTCAATATACTGCGTGGTATATCAGAGAATACGATTTATCAAAATAAACGATTGATAATCGTATATGCTCAAATGATCATACACGCTAAATAAGATCGGAGAATTCTCCTTTTATTATAGAATCGATGCTTTGTTCCTTAGTCCGACATTTGTACAGACGTTTTTTTATGAGCAAAAGAAGGTATCCAAAGCAAAATTTTGAAAATATTTTCTTTTATTTTTCCGTATTTAACTGATAAATGGACTAAGTTTTGCAGTCAACAAGTAGATACAATCTTTTTGTTACATATCAATTACTTTTTCAAAGTTTTTATGAAACTTTGGCAGAAGTCTTTTTTTATGATAAAGAGATAATTTCTGATGTAAAATTTTGAAGAATTTTTTTTTTTTCAATTTTTGGTATTTTACTTGGTCCCAAATCAGGAGCCAATAGTTCAGTGGTTGTAGTTTGTTGCTGTATATCATATTTGTTTTCCGTTAATTTTTTGGAACGTACATCAACAGTTAGTTTTTTCGTTTGAATTGTTTTACATTTGTCATGTCGGGGCCTTTTATAGCTTACTATGAGATGTGGGTTTTGTCCATTGTTGAAGGCGGTACGAAGACCTACAGTTGTTAAATTCTGTGTCATTTGGTATGTGGTGGAGAGTGTCTTATTGGCAATCATACCACAACTTCTTATTTATATATTGTTTTTTTTGCATTAAACATTTACCAAATTAAACGTTTTGACATGATAAATTTGTAAACCTTCATGGATTGTTATAAAACTTGGACATGTTGGACAGAAGATAATCTTCAGGATCAAGAAAGACACCCAAAGAAAAAATTGGACTTTTTAAATGTAACTTTTTTAACTGATAAATGGACTTTTTTCCAGTAAAAATTACACTTTTACACGGACAGCAGAAATTGCAGACGAGACATAGGATTTCGCGGAACCCTTTACCATTTTTTGTTTGTTTGCTATAATACTGCTTCCATTTGAGAGCTATGGAAAAAACTGGCGGACCAAGTGGCGAGGGGATATTCCCCTTTATATGTTCGAAATATCGTTGTTATTTCTAGTACTGTTTTCTCATTTTTGTCTGCAGATTCCCCATAATGTACGCATGCCGCCCCTCAATCACTTTTTCATACAAAATACCTTTAAAAAGTAACTCGAACTTTAAACTTGAACTTAAACTCGATAGATCCGAAACACATAAACAAACGACACGGAAATCGGTTTAAAAATAGAACTAATCTTTCCGAAATGATCACGTGGTTTTAACTCATCAAGTAATTTGATAACCACATCAAAGAATGACAGAACCACATAAAATACTGAAATGACCACATCATGCAGTGTAAAATCGTCAAATTTTGAAACATCATAATGTAATATAAAAGTCATATAAAGAATTGACAAATCATCATTAAGAAATAACAAAACCACATCATACAATGAAGCAACTACATTACGTCAACCCACATAACATAAAGTAATGTTAAAACCACATTGCATAATGACACAACTACATTAAGTAATACTGGAATCATATTAAGTAATGACAAAACCATATTAAGTAATGACAAAACCATATTAAGTAATGAAAAACCATTTCAAGTCAATACGAAACCCTATCATGTAATATTGAAATATCATTAAGTAATGACTATACCATATTGAGCAATATCAAAACATCATCAATTAATGTCAAAACCATATTATGTAAAGACAAAATATTATCAAGTAATAATAAAACTTCATAAGGTAATGTCAGAGTATCACATAAGACAGCTGTGGCATTCCATAAAATTGCCTACTATTACTACAACATGAAGTATCCTGAAATTGATACTCTTGTTTTTGTTTTTTTGTTATTTCTTTTTTCCATAGTATCCAAAAACAGGTAAGTAGACACTCACACTTTACTACTCATTACTGTCAAGTTGATAGCTAAATATTAATTCCTTCTATTCAGTAGCACTTTAAAGATGTGAGACGAAAACTGTAAGTTCATTCGACATACAATGTATTTGAAAAATTCCAGGTATCGGCAAACAAGAAAAAGGTGCCTTATGTCTGAAACGAAAGTGTTTACATGTTAACACTCATCTTTGTAAAACTCCAGGCCGAACAGTAGCTTATAGTTTTTGTTCAAATCTAAACATATCTAAATGAGAAGAGACTTGTCAAGCTAATAATCAAAATCTGCACGAACTCCAAAAGAAATAAACTTGTTATCATAAAAGGGAAACATTAATGTATGTTTTTTTATATTAGATTTGTATGCTGTGTTAGTTGGAATACACTGAGTGTTTGGTCATTCAGAAATATCATAGTATGTTATTAAAAATGAACACAATATAACGTCTCACTTCATTGGTCGAAAAGTATAGATGCAACTTTAATGCTGTTGTACACGTGAACGGACACAGTTGACAGACAGTGGAATGTACTATATTTGCTATGAAACGAAAATAACTGAACGGATGTTTTGGTAGTACTGACCCTTTTCCAGATTTTCAAAAAGGCCGTCGAAATAAACACCTGTGAAGACAATGAACTTTGAAAAATTATCATGTATTGGATTATAAAAAAATCAAAAAGTAGTACATGTACTACTTTCCCTTTCACATTAATTGGATAGTACAAGCAAACTCAAAACTATGATGTTATAGTATTACAATTAATTTTGAAATGGCGATGTTAAGAAGGGACAATAAAATGAATTTATATTAATGGGATGCAAAGTTCATTCTTCAACCAACATAAAATGAATATAACTTAAATTCATGGAACATTGGTGTGTTTTTGTTGTTTATTTTGTATGTATATGTAAATATATCATGATTAAACTTTAAATAATAAAAAATACAATTTTCTTTAAAAGGCGCGCTTCTATGCCCAATATTTGGCATCACCTGGTATATTGTTATATAAGATTGTTATGTTATTCTGTGGTTTATAATTCACAAGCAGCAATGTAATACAAAGTGAAAATAACAAAAATACCGAACACCAAGAAAATTCAAATCGGAAAGTTCCTTATCAAAAGGCAAATTCAAAAGCTCAAACACATCAAACGAATGGAAAACAACTGTCATATTCCTTACTTGGTACATGCATTCCCTTGTGTAGAAAATGATGGACTCCTTCCAAGTATTTTTTAAAGAATGCATTAACGGATTCAGCGCGATAGTTCCACGGAAAACAACCAGTTGTTTAAATTATTGAATTTTATCATTTAAAAAGTTTGAAACACTAAAAATAATTTAATAAACCTCATTTTTCCAAAGATAAAGCACCAAACCGTAATCCCCCCCCCCCCCCCCCCCCCCCCCCCCAATTTTAAAGCTATTGGTGGTTAGAGTTTTTTTGGATGCCTTTCTTATGTTTAAAATGTATATATGTAGTAAAGTATACATAAACAGCATACCTACATCCCGAGGGGTTGATGGCATAATAACTATACTATCTTTGACATTGAATTTGAAATTTTGGAGACAAATGACTTGTTCATGCAGTAATGTTAAATAATATTTACACATGTATACATAGTAGAATTGCCACAGCATAACCATATAAACAACCTTGTAAACGATCAGTAAAGAAATCACCAAAGGTATCAGGCTTATGCCAGATGCGTAATTCGTCTACAAAAGACTCACCAGTGATGCTCGAATAAATACAGCTGAAAGGTTAAATCATATACGAAGTTGAAGAGGATTTAGGACCAAATCCTAGGTTTTATGAACAATTTAAAGTTTTGTAAGCATTGAATTTATAAATATGACATATCAATGATTTTCATGCCAACACAAAAGTGTTGACTGCGGAGCAAAGCCCTATAATGTAGATAAATGTTCGGTTTCTTGTATAAGTATTGAGTTCCCACGTATGCTATTTATTTTAGAACTAGTTAGATCACTTATGTCATCGGGTTAAAATGTCCTAGATAAATACCATTCCTTTTCAAACAGATATTAGAAAGTTGAATGATTACGCCATAGGCCCTTTTTGCTAACCTAGACCACAGTTGGGTGTAATGATACATTTGCAATATAACATATTGCCGTTCTCAAAGCAGATATGTTCGTAAGATCCACTCACTTAGGTGACAATGATGAAAGTTTATTGGGCAATTTCGGAAAACGGAAAAATTGATGTTGGACAGATTAACTATTTTCATTGTATGCATAATACTATTATCATACATATATGCATGTATACCATAACTTCATAAAAAGATAACTATTTTACCAGGAGGGTTCCTTCAGAAGGATGTACACACTTTAAGACTAGATGTTTCTCCCATATCCCTTCTTCATCAGTTAGGAAAGGAATCAATCATATTTAACATAACCTTTATTACAGTAACAAAAATCCCGTATGATACAGTAGCAAATTTTTACTAGGGTCATTTCTTTTGTAAAGACCCCAAGTGTCTGATAGTGAACAAGGTGAACAATTTGGGATCCTTGGAGCCCCTAGGTTAAGATCTTTTTAAAGTAATGATAGTGTAAACACATTTTTGTACGCCTGGGGTTACTAAGAATGGTACATAAATTCTAGAATTTTTAGTTTAAATGTGAAACACAATCTTAAAAGTGGTCATAATGAACATTTGAAAGGAATAGTTGGTGTATTGTTGTAATGATATTTAATCGGTGATAAAACTGAAATATTATATGTTTAAATCATGCAGTTTATGGTTGAAAAACTTAGATATAAAAAAACATAATTGTTTATGTGTAAGGGTTGTAAAACGTTTCAAATAAAACAAACTTCACCTTGAGTATCTGTAATATATCACACATTTTAAAAAAAATACAATCAGTGTATCCAGATTTTTAATCAAAATGGATAAACAGCTAGGTCAACTTTTAACCCCATCAGTTTAAATACTTGCGTGTCACATACGTTTTAGTCTTTACGTTTCAGAGGTAATGAGTTGATGTTTATTTTGAAAATAGTATGCTATTGTATATATATATATATGTGAGTACGCTTTAATTTCCAAATTTCATTGAACATGCTGTCATTTGTATGAATGTAAATATCATTTTTATAATTTTGTATTAATTGATTGTGATCGCAAAGTCTATTTATATTTATTAAAACAGCCTGTACCTGTACTCTGAACAACAAATTTTTTAATTTTGTAAAAAATGTTTACTTCCGTGCTCCTAACATCAAAATTATTATGTTCAAATCAACTTTTGTACGTTGTTTTATTTAACGTCATTTTGTCCTAGGTTAGAGTTGTCTTTTTTGACACTCTTGCTACATCTTTTTTATTACTACCTGTAACGTCTATATCATATAGGCACCTACGTTGTAGTAATATTGTATTTATAATGTGTCATAGGTCAAACGTATATGTTTACTTGTTTTTGTTTAAATGTCTTTTTGGTCGAGTTAAGCCATTTCAATTGAAATTTGATAGTGTTTCTTTTTATGTTGTAATGTTACACTGCTGTCTCAAGTTATGGTGAAGGTAGGCGCCTGTTAAAACGTTTGAACCCGCTGCATTTTTATACACCTGTCCTAAGTCAGGAGCCTGCTGTTAAGAAGTTGTCGTTTGTTGTTGTAGTTCATAGGTGTTTCTCATTTCTCGTTTTAATATAGATAAGACTGTTGGTTTCCCTGTTTCAATTATTTTACATTAGTCATTGTGTGGCCCTTTATAGCTTGCTGTTCTGTGTGAGCCAAGGCTCCGTGTTGAAGGCCGTACTATTACCTATAATTGTTTAACTTTTTATACATTGTGACTTGGATGGAGAGTTGTCTCATTGGCAGTCATACCACATTTTGTTATTTATATTAACAGGTATCGTTGACGGCAACGTAGAAATAACTATTTTTAAAAACAAAGTTACCTTAGACAGACAAATTATAGATTGCCATGGTTTGTCAGCAATTGTTAGTTAATCACTACGGCCGTAGAGATGTGACAATAATTCTAAATTATAAAAGCCACTTATGAGTGTATTAAACGCATTAAAACATTGCTTTAGCATTGTAGGCAGATATTGCATTTCTTTAATAACTTTACATACCAGTCACTATTGCAGGGAAATAATTTAAGGCCGGTATAATTTGATGTTAATATTACATGGTGATCTGTTAATTTGGTTTGTATTTTAATAAATTTATGAGTTGTAGAATAAAACTTGAAGGTCTTTTTTTATTCATAATAACAGCCTTGGTAACGATCGCTTAGCAGGTCCGGGAAATTAATGTCACCTGCCTTAGCAAACTTGTTAGCACATATTATAAAGGTAATGATAGAGATATAGTAATGATTGCATAAAGCTGTCAAGTTGCTTTCAAGCATTAACTTCTCAGGTTTTAACATAGGAAAACAATAAAGTTTTAGTCTTAGATACATGTTTTTTTTAATAGTTGTACATGTTATTGGCATGAACTAGCTGTCAGTAACTGCGATTAATCTCATATGTGTATTTTGTGTCTTTTATGTTGCACCCAGTCTGTATTTTTTGTAAATTGTTTTCTTCTTTGTATCGATCTAATGAGTTAAGCCATTTTCAACTTATAGTCTGTTCTTATGTTTTACTGTTACACCACTGTCACGGGTTAGGGGAGTGATTTGAGACAGCAAACATGTTAAACTGCGTCCCATTCTATATTTCTTGTCCTAGTACGGTAAACTTGACCATCTGATTTGTACGAATTGGTCCTTTTGTTGTGCTGAATTTGGTCAAAGATGGGGTTTTCTATGTTATAACTGAGTGTTCAGATTAATGATAATTTGGTATTAGAGTACAGTTTTATACTTGAAACAACAGTCTAATCTTCAATCTATACATATAATTTTAACTCTTACATTTCTTATCGTTTTTTCGTTGCTCCCGATTTTGCCATCAACAGTTTTATATTTTAATTGTTTTTTTTTGTAGAATGATTATAAAAATCCTATCATTTGAAATTTTCTGCGGCTGACATTTGTAAATATTTAACATATAATAACTTACCTTAATTTAGTGTCTTCTTTTCCCTAGGTGTGAAACAAAATAAATTTTAGGCGAACCTATTCAACTGTAATGATTGTTTACATGTTCCCATTTTTGGTTCATATGGATATAGAATGAAGCTTTGTGAAATCCAACAAATGATATAATATCGATTTCTGTTTTAAACTACATTGTACTTCATATTTTTTTATTAGGGCAGTTGAGCAATATATTATACATTTTTGTCAAATCTTTTCACCAATAAAAAATATATTTAATTCTAAATAGTTTTCATATATTAACCCGGATAAATGTCTTACAGCAGTATAGTAAAATTATAAAATAATATAAGGGTATTGTATAGATATCTTATCTAAGAAATTAACGACCGACTGGAATCAACACTGCACAAGTTTAACTTGCACAATTAACAGAACTGGTTGACCGATACGATGTGTCTGTGTCTCCACTCACTATTCATATGTTTTTTCGAGGTCTTATAACTTTAGCTACGATAAACGTTGTGCTACCTTTACATTTTACCAATTGTGTCCTTGTACTGATATTTTGACTGTGTGTCTATGATAATCGGGGTTATGTATAATGCTTAGCAGGGGTGCTTATCATATCGACGCATTTGTCCATGTTCCTTAAAAATGTATGCTATTTTGGATTTCGGTATTTTTGTTATTTTACTTTCTTCCTTGATACTGTTTGTTTATATCTTGATGTTTTGATGATTCGCTAAAATTACTGTGGCATCTAATTTTTACTAAATAGTCGTGACGTCAATTTTCTTAGAAAGGTAGATTTTTGACATTTATGAATGGGAGAACATGAATATATTGTTCGTCAAAAGTTAGCTTTTAAATGGCCTACTGTTACTAATAGCATCCTTAGATTGGTACTCTTTGCAATTGTCTTGTTGTCATTTCTTTTTGCGCTTAGTACCGATATGATTAGTCATGGTTTAATGTTGTTCGGAAAATGTCTGTACCAAGTCTGGAATATGACAGTTGTTTTCCATTCGTTCCATTAACTTATAAAGTCTAACGTTTGATTTTGTCAGTTTTTATGGCTTCCCCTTTCTTAATTTACCTTGGAGTTCGGTATTTTTGTTAATACTTTTCTGTTGTTATGTTGTGTTTTTACGTCGCTGTCTAAATTGTTTAACCTTGTCCTATTCTGTACGTGCCTCTCCAAAGCTCGGACCTTGTAATCTTGGGCTTGTCGTTTAGTGGCTAAATTGTTGCACCATACCTCAAGCTGTTGTTTTTCTTTTGAATTGTAAATATCAATTAATTTAATAGAATTGTTAGATCATATATCATTATATTGTGATGATTTTGATTTACTTAAAAGAAAAGTGTTTATGAAATTGTGTAAACAAAATTAATGCACACGTAAATGTGCTAAGCATACCCCAACTCGAAATTCATAATATCCAGAAAGATGAAGTGGGCACTCATACTTTACTTCTTATTACTGTGAAACTGTTAGCTAGATGTCAATTCATTCTGCTCCAAAGAATTGTGACGAAAATTGTAAGTTTATTCAGCATATTTGAAAAATCCAGGTATTGGCAAGCATGAAACATGTCCTGACATATTTGAAAAGTGTTAACATGTAACAACTCATCACTGTCAAATATAGACCAAACAGTAGTTTATAGTTTTTGTTCGAATTTAAAACCAAAAAGGAATAAAAAGAGACTTATCAAGCTTATAAACAAAACCTGCGGAATCGCTCAAACTCCAAAATAACAGACTAGTTATTATAAAAAAAGAACATCAATGTATGTTTTTATATTAGATTCGTATACTGTGTTTGTTGGAAATACACTGAGCGTTTGGTAATTCAGAGATAACATTGGATATTATTAAAAAACAAACACAAAATGACGTTCCATTCCATTGGTCGAAATAGTAGAATAACAAAAACACAGAACTCCAAGGAAAATTCTAAACGGGAAGTTCTTTATGAAATTGCAAAATCAAAAGCTCAAACATATCACACGAATGGATAACTCTTGTCATATTCCTGATCGAAAGATATAGATACAACCATAATCCTATTAAACACGTGAACTGACACCGTTGACCGATAGAGGAATGTACTATGTTTACTTCAAAAAGAAAATTAATTAAATAGATGTTTTGTTCGCAATGACCTGTTTCCAGATTTTCAAAGTGGGCGGTCGAAGACAATGAACTTTGTAAAATGAAAATTTATCATATAATTGATTCTGCCAAATATAAGGATATATACATGTACCACTTTCCCTTTCACATTGATTGGATAGTACAAGCAAATATTAGACTAAGATTTTATAGTATTAATAATTAAATTTGAGTTATCAAATTTAAAGTTAAGAAGAGATGCATTTTTATTAAAAGGATTCAAATTCCATTCTACAATAAACATACAATGAATAAAGATTTTTTCCTGGAACATTGGTGTGTTTTTTTTGTTCTTTCTTAATGTAACATAAAAAGATAATGAATGAACTTACAATTTTAATAAAAAAAAACATTTTTCTTTCAAATGCGCGCAACTATGTCCCACAGTGGTCATCACCTGGTATGTTTTAATATAAGATTGTTATGTTATTCCGTGGTTGATAATGCAAACGCATCAATGTTATAAAATCAAAGTACTTTAAGTAATGCATTAGCGGATTCAGCGCGATAGTTCCAGAAATAGAAACCAACGTTTTCTTTTAAAACCAAACAAGTTTGAAACACAAAAAATCATTCAATAAACCTCATCTTTCCAAAGATAAAGCACCAAACCGCAATCCCTCTCAATTCAAAAGTTACTGGAAAATGCTAGAAGAAAATCAAGAATTTTTTTTGGATGCCTTTTGTTTTGAACAATGTTTATATTTAGTATACTGGTATTCATAAACGGCATACCTATATTCCGAGGGGTTAATGGCATGTCACCCAAACAAATAACGAACACAGAACCTTTGTCATTAACTTTGAAATTTGTGAGACGAATGATTTGTACATGAAGTACTATAAAAGGTAAAATAATAAAACTAACGAACTCCAAGGAAAATTCAAATAAATCAACTTCACCTTAAGAATTGGTAATATGACACAATTTCAATTATTTGACAATAACTGTATCCAGATTTTTTCATTAAAATGACCTAACAGCCATGTTTAATTTCGTTAAATTCTCATCAGTTTAAAATTAGTATATTTAAATTTGTATTTGTCACATTTTAAATACTTTCATGTTACAAACATATTAATCTTTACGTTTCATATGTAACTAGTTGGCGTTAATTATAAATAATATGTTATAGTATTTGTAAGTGAGTATGCTTTAATTTACAAATTTGTTTGTACATATTGCCATTCAAATTAATGTAAATAATTTATATTTGTATTTGATGATTTTAATAACAAAGTTTATTTATATATTTCATACAGCCTTAACGGGTATCGCTTGATGGAAACAGGGAAATAACCATATTTGATTTTTTAATCGTTGACGGGCAAATTTCAGAGTGCCGTGTTTTTTCTCAGCACCAGTTGGTTAATAACTATGGACATAGAGTTGTGACAATGACAAATTAACATAAACTGTTAAAACAGAGGTATGTCTCAGCTGTCGGCATAAAATTCAGGAAAAAAAACCAGTCTGATAGACAGCAACATTGCTAAAAAAATTCAAAGTCAAAGATGCATCTCTTCGTGTTTTCCAATTTTATGCTGAAATCTCGGGACTTAAGATAAATATAGAAAAAACACATGTTGTTTGGATAGGTAGCAAAAAACATAGCCAAGATCAAATTTGTGTTAAGTAGGGATTGAAATGGGGCTCCAGTACATTTAAGCTCATTGAAATTACTTTTTCAGTTGACCTAGATAGAATGATTTATTTAAATTATAGGCCAGTGTTAGATAATATAGACAACACTTTGTAAAAATGGTCAAAACAGTATCTCACCCCGTTTGGAAAGATTATCATTTTAAAAACTTTGGTCATATCTAAATTAAATCATCTGTTTCTATCCATCCCTAGTCCAGATGGGACTATGTTACGTAATTCAACAAATAAAATGTATGCTTTTATCTGGGATAATAAACCAGATAAGGTGAAGCGAGATCTTTTATGTCAAGATTATTATATTGGTGGTTTAAAAATGCTAAATTTAAAAGCATTCATACAGGGACTGAAACTTGCATGGATAAGACGGCCGTAGAACTCAAATTCTAAGTGGGTGAGATTAGTTCCTATTGTGGAGCAAATAAATTTTATTGAACTAAGTTACATTGGGCCCATGAAAAGGTCAACAAATAAATTTTGGCAAGAGGTTTATGATGCTTGGAAAACCCTTAATCAAATTAGAAAACCAAGATGTATTGATGAAGTTCTATCTTATCTTTTATGTGAGGGAGAAAACATTAAAATACGTGGTTCAAGTGTCTACTATAAAAATTGGGCTAAAGCTGGAATTTGGAGAGTGCATGACTTGTTAGATAATCAGGGAAAATTATGTTATTTCAAAATTTCCAACAATTATATCAATCTAGGCTACATTTTTTACATTATTATGGAATAGCACACTCGCTTAAAGAGTGGTTAAACACGACCAATGTTGAAGTAAAGGAGAAAAAAATTCAAGCAACGCTACCTTTCAATGTAAGTATTTTCTTTGAATCAAAACAAGGTTCAAAGGACATGTACAAAGTATTGAATGAGAAATATATTACTTTTGCAGCAATGGAAAAATTGGGAAAACCATCTTAATATGACTGGTATTAACTGGAGAAAAATACACACTTCGTGTACAAAATATACTTGAAGCACTAAGCTTTGCTGGTTACAATATAGAATTATTCATAGAATTCTAGGAACGAATTCACTACTTTAAAAGATGAAAATAAATAGTAGCGACATATGTAAATTTTGCAAAGAAGAACCAGAGACCATAGAACATCTATTTTGGAGCTGTTCTATAGTCTCCAGTCTCTGGCATGCACTAAACAACTGGATTTTTGAAATGACAAATATTGAACTGCCTTTGAATATTAAAATTATTCTATTCGGTAACTACACGAAAATATTAAATTGAATTTTTGTTAAAAATAAGATTATTTTGCTTACAAAATACTATATTTACCGAACAAAAT